TAAAACGTTTTTGGCTCTTTTCTGCGCTCAAGGGAATGTCAGAGGGTTTTACAAAGCAACCAAAGGTTGCTTTGTAAAACCCTCTGACATTCCCTTGAGCGCAGAAAAGAGCTGAAAACAGAGTTGCAAACTTGAGAATAGAGAAACTTAGGCTGATTCCCGGCAATTACTGGCATCTTAAGACAAGCAGGTCCTGCCAGTATTAAGTGAAGAGAAAAAAAATACCTACTAAAGTTCTCCTAGAACTATTTTCAGAGTCAGGATTTTGAATGTTGTGCTTCAAAAGGCATCGGGCATCCCGACCTTGGCACTTCTGCAGCTGAAAACGACGGCTGCGGAATCAAACCTCAACCTCTTGTGCTTTATGCTGAAGTATTTATTCACATTCTCACTTTACAGCCCTCTCAGGCCATGTCAACGCTGTCAAATTAAAAAAATGGCCCGGCCACAGACCTCAGCATTAGCCCCCCAGCCATGAGCTCACTGCCTGGCTCTGTTCTGAGCCGCTTCGCTCCCTCCTGCCAAAACAAACCTGCTCCCAGACATCTTCGACCCAAAAATCCTATCAGGGGCCAGGCAGAGCCCTGGGGTCAGGGGTAGTCTCTGGCCCTGCTGCATCCAGGAGGGCAGACGGAGGCTGAAGGCGATGGACCTCGCCCTGATGTCACCAGAAAGAAGGTGAAAAGCGCTTGTGATCTGGTCTGATCTTGCAAACGATACTAAATCTTGCTTTTCTGAGCTGATTTTATGAGATGTAGTCAGCAAAACAAACCAAACACTTTTTGTATTCGCCTCTGAGGTAGCTCCAGGACATTGAGCGGATCGAGCTCTACACGTTCTCCATAAGCTCCTCTTTCAACCCCTTGAAAAATACCCCACATCTGCTCTCAACTGCCCCCGTCAGTTTTTGACAGATACGCTGTTATTCTACTGGTCCCTTCCGTGGACTGTGCTATGTTAATGAGTTCAGAAAATAACCTCAAAACACCACACTTTGGTGGAAAAATAGATGACTTCATTTAGAAAATCGTGCTTAAACCCCAAAGATTTTCACTCCTCTCCCTACACAGGACCAAAATTAAAGGAGCTGATGGCAAACGTGCCTATGGCTCATTCACATGCAAAACTCTGTAACAGGCAATTGCTAAATTCACAGTTCAATTAAGATTCTTCAGAGAACCTATACACGACAAGGGTCTTCTAAAAACAGGATAAAACTTACTGAAACCATGTATCTTTCTTTACAAGCCTTAATTCAACTGTGACCGTGAAACTGACCAAGTCAAAACATTACCCTACAGCAGAAAATCCTCCCCGGTGCAATTCACCTCCAGAAATCCCCCCGAGGTGGTCGGGCGAGGAAGGCAAAGAGCTGTAGGAACCAGAATTACTGTGCTGGATTTCTGGAGACATCCCATCCCCAGGGAAAAGCTGCACTCACACAACAGGCCCTTCCCACCAGAGGCTTCCCACCCACAGGCTTTAGGAAGAACTTGTCTGGGAATGTTTTCAAATGTTTCCCCTCCACGCTGCTTTTGAACACTCACAGTATATGGTGTTTCTTACTGGAGGTCTCTGGGATGAGCAAAAAATTAAACAGTGAACTGTTCAATGGGTTTTTTCTCAGAACTTGCTGGTTCCCTGATCTTGCTCAGTTGTAGGGGAAGGGAAAAGCACCTCACCTGGCACTGGAATAACCAGGGAGCAGCATCTTTGGCTCTCATAGGCAGGTTCTTCCCACAGACAAGAGCTCAGGACATCATATACCATAACACAAAATATGCTTGTAACTCTTTGGGCCATTTTTCACAAGTGCAGTTTGATGAGAAATTATAATCATGGTGTTACACACAAAAAAAATCTATACAATAACCAATATTATAGTAGACATCAGCACATAAAGGGTTGGTTTTTTCTTCTAACAGCTCCTTTTTTAACAGTAGCCTGATAATTTAAAATGAAAAATGTTCCAAAATATTTAAAGCGTTTTAAACAATCTTTTTGCAGTTTAAAAATCCAAAGTTACAAGCCACCTGAAAATCACTGACCTTTTCTAATTTTTCAAAGTGTTCTCTGAGGAACTTCATGGGCCGGTCGGGCTTTGCTATGCAGAGGTTTACAATGCACTCTTTTAAAATCTGTTGGATGTTGTGCTTCTGAACATAGAGCTCGCATCCCTTCAGGCTCTCGTCTTCTTCCACGTTGCAGGAGGAAGGAGCAGCAGCCATCTTCGGGCTTGTAAACAGAAAACAGACAGAGGTAAGAAAATGGTGCAAGAAATAGATAAGAGACAGTTCCCAAATCCTCTGTCAGAGAGAGACGGAGGAGCAAAGACATTTTAATATTGCCTGTTGCCTATTCAAGAGCTATAAATTCTGATTGTTTCAGTGTTCTGGGGTTGTATGAAACGCTGAACTGTGTCATCTTTGTACGACCAACATGCCAGTCACTACAAAACGAGCATTTTAACTCCTGGATGGCAATCAGCCTTTGGAAATACCGGTGCCATTAATGAGACAAGGCCACGAGTGTCACAGCTACTGACCGATGGCGCAAAGCCTTGCTTCTCCATCCCCCTGGGGACTCTCTCCCCATCACCAGAAACCCAGTTTTCCACAACAGAAGGATTTTTTTTGGGTAAATTTTAACATCTCCCACCCTTCCCGGTCCCGGGGGAGACGGGGAGGAGGGGGCAGAGCCGCCCAAAGGCAAGTTTGGGGGAAAACAACCCCAAACCCCTCTTTCTTTCCCCCAGCGGCCATATGTCCGCGCCGCTACTGACCGAAACCGGCTCTTACAGCGCCCTGCCCGGGCCGGGGGAGCCCCGGGAGGCCGAGCGGGGCGGCGGGGAGCGGGACAGGCCCCGGGGGAGCGCCGGGAGGCTCCCGGGCCGCCCGAGGCAGCGCATC